GCCTGCGCAATAAAACCCTTAAACAAAAAACGCGCGCCATTTTGTAGTTGCTGCGTCAATTAGCCGAGTTTGCCTTCGTTTCGGGCACGTAATCTGAACATGTATCAAACACGAAAACTGCGTCAGCCTTTGGCATCTGATTGGCTTAGCTCGAGTATATAAAATAAAGATTAGGGTGCTGCGCAAACTTTCGGAAAGAATCGGATTCAATCACACGCTTCTTGCGGAAGAAATGGCGGCCGCCAATATTGCTTCATGGTTAGACTTTTGGAAAGGGTCTTTTTGTGAAATTCCTAGTAACAAAATAATTATCAAAATACAAGTCTTTTTTTTTTTTTTTCTCATTGTTTTTGTATAACGGCCTACTCCAAGCACCTGCAGGGTCCGTGCCCGTCGTGATTCATATATTATAAGTTACATGTTCGATATTCGCGCGTTCATGCCTTCCAACGCAAGATATCAGAATTCAAGTAGAAAGTACGAACTATTTGTTTGTGTGCATTATATCGAGAAAATAATTTTGAAATGTTTTAGAAGCATGCTCGTAATAATATTGATGACAAACATAATTACGGACTAATTTCGAAGCGCAGTGGCATTTATTCGTGAGTATGTGCACTTTGTCATGAACCGTTTGGCACCTTTGCGCCAGTTGACAAGTCGGCACCTTTTAGGGTCTGTGTCGCTTTTTGCCTGCCGTTTCGGGCTTATGTTATGTTTAGGATTCGGATTTTTTGGTTTAAACCGATGAGAAACCGATAAAAGTACGCTGAATCCATTTTTGGAAAATCGGTTTTAACAGAAAGGTCAGCTTCTAGGTTCAGCATTTTCTATTAAAACCAATAAAAACAGGTAAAAGTACGTCGAATCCACTTTATAAAATTCAGTTTTAACCCGAACAGGTCACTTTGGCCTTCCAGTCGTACCGCAGAGCCGTGGCGAAAAAGTGGAACGACAGTGTCTATCAAAACGTGTCCGAATGTATGGGATACACGGGTGCCGTCACGACGTTTTGGTTTAACGTGGGCATCATCTATCGAAACGTGAAGTCCAAAATGCCCTATGACTTCGCCATGTACGAGCGTATTTTCAAACTCGGAAGACTGACTTGATGCAAGCTCTGCATGTTGTGTTGTGCTTCAAAACGTCACACCGTGTCTCTTTTGGCGGTCACAATTGGTTGATTGGCCGATTTTGACTCAGGCAGCGCTTCATCTCCTCAGCCTGCCAGTGTCCAGTGTAAGCGTTGAGAGGGCATTCTCGAAGCTCAGTGTCATATTAACAAGAAACAAAAAGTGCGGATCAACGAGGAGAACCTGGGAAAGTACATGTGTGTGTTTTATCTAAGATCATGTAATCCTGATATACAGAAGCTGAAGTTCCATGATTTGGGGCATATTTGCTTCATATTTGACTTGTTTGTACGCGTTTTTTTTTTTCGTTTTTCTACAGTTGCACACAATTGCCAAATGAAGTGTCCATTTCTTTTGCAGTGTGCATGTCTATGCAGCTATTCTTTGAGCAATCACAAATATCACAGCTACAAGAATACTCTTTCAGGGTATTCACCGAAAAAAGCCGATAAACTTTTGTAGGCATAAATGTACACCGATAAAAACCGAAAATTGAATTTTAAAATAAACACCAAAAAAAGACGCCGAATTTTGAAAAATAGAAACCGAAAAATCCGAACCCTAGTTATGTTCAATCTAAACCAGCTCGTTCGCACCTTTAAACATTCACTTCATTGAATAATCACTGCACCACAAAACATTTCTACAATAACTTTTTTTTTTCGTTTCGGTAAGGTTTTGCGGCATTTATTTATATCTCTGAGGGAGATGCAGACGGTGTGAGCACTGTGAGGCACATTGAGGTAGAATCCCGAGCAACACAAATACGGCAAATGGAACGGTGTCTGCTTCAGATCACCTAGGTTCGAACAAATGTACGGACATCAAGGTAAGACTAGGGCACATTCTCTGTAAGTGTGTTTGGCGCAATAGACCCCTTTTCAAAGACTGCTCTTTGTTGGCAGCTCTGAAATCCCTGTACCATGGCGGACTAAAACCGGAACGTCAAGGCACACTTTATGCGCTTGGTTGGATTAGAAGGCAAAAAAAAAGACCAGAGAAAAAGGTGATGAGCGCAGTGACGTTGCACTTTACACGCTGTTTGATTGGCTCATCGGCTCATAATGTTGGCTGCGTCTTGGCTATATGATCGAATGACTTGCTCGTTCCTCGATGCAGTTGTTCTGCCATTGTGCACTGGTTCCGACTTTCTAACAATTGGCCCGTGACTTTCGAAAGGGGTGTATTGCTTCATGATTAGGAGGCTGTTGAAATATACAACCTGGATCCCCCATAGTCTAACACCATTTTTGTTTGCTGTTTCAACCAAAAATAACCTCCTTATGGTGAGGTTTTGTATACAATTGCCTTATTTTTTTTTTAATTTTTAATAAAGAAGCATTTATGAAAATTTAGTGCAGTTCAGTCGTGTCCCTTCAGCGCAATACTCTTTCACGCATCCATAGGCTTGTAAATGTGCCGTATTTCTTTTCGGGCCTTCGATTTCTCTTTGTGGCCCGTGCTGCATGTAAATAAAGGTATCTATTCTGGAGAAGCAGCATAGTTAAAAATGGTCCCAATGTGTAATTTGGCGAGATCTAACCTTAGCAAAAAGACGAGCGCGCTCTTTGTATACGAGCGTTTGCTGCCTCATATTTGATCATCTGTATGGCTCGGTAATATTTAGGGTACTATAAAGTCAGTCGACCATCGTTGTTGTCATTCAACTTGGCTATAGATTCGAAGCGCTCGCGCAACTATATCATTTATAACTGATAGCGGTGGCGCGCAACACCGAAAGGTGTCGACGCAAATGCAGCAGCCGGTGTCACTGATCAACACGTGACGACGCGGCTGACCCGTGACGCGGCTGACACACCACTTATCCCACGACACGACTCACATCTGAAGCAAATTTAAAGTTTTCAATAAAACATTTTGTTTGAATTGAATAGTTCTAAAACATCAGAAAGTTCAATTGGTTTTGTATATTATAATTTTTTTTCTTCTTTCTCATCAAGAAATTGGAGCAAATATAGCATAATCTGGCCATATAATCACAGACGCGTCGAAAAGGCACGGAGTTATCTTTATTTATCTTTAGGTGATGAGATTTTCGTTTTCCGCACAGCTTGTAAATCACCGGGGTAAGACTCGAAAGAAGGCCTAAACAGTCTGTAATATTAATATCGAACACAGGGAAGTTTAAAAGTTAATTTATTTCTTTTTGGTTACACCCCTACCTGTATGGTACACATGACAAGTAATCAAGTCACGTGTAGTCTATTACTTTTTGGATCAATCTTGCAACCATTTTAATAAATTTATTAAAAAGTAGCTGCAAGAGTATTTTGATTACTTTTGAAAGTATGAGAATTCCTTTTAACCATTATTATTTTCCCCTTCCGTTTATAAGGGCGCCCTTTATTTCAACCAAGACATTCTTGAAACCAAGTCCCCGACAGCAGGATGTCCCACCAAAATCCGGTGAATTAAGAAGATGAGTAGCTCGTAATACGGTAATTCTAGTTTAAGAATAGACAGCACGAAAAACAGTTATAAAAGCCGTAAAGCAGACGTCATTTTGAATATCTGAAGTAGCGGTTACGTTTTCAAGTAACGGCCAGTTAATTTTTTTTTTTTTTAGAAATCACGTAATTTTTTAGCCGAGAGTGATTGTAATTGTAATCGAATACTGTTTTCGAGTGACGTTACAAGACTGATAAAACCACTGCCATTTCAGTCTGTTAAATTGTCTTCGATACTATTTCTAAGATATAAATACTGCGTAGCAACATGGGAAATCAGGATCCTTTCAGAAATGTTAGCTAACGTTCACTTACGGGTTGTTTAAGTAAATTTATAAAGTATTGCTTTTCTCGAACTAAATTGAAAACGCTTTGAATGTTCTATGATAGTTCAAATATATTGAACTATTTGCGGAATTGCGGAAATGTGGTATTCATCTGCTCTGAAGACTTATTGGCCGCAATACTCCGAAACATTTGTTTTCAGGGACCTGCAGCACCATGTTTTCCTAGCAATAGATGGGAAATTGTGATAACCAAAAAGTCAAAATTTTACTTCAGTCCCAACAGCTAGTGTTTAACGTTTTCATGAAAATAACCCCTGCAGCAACCAGTGTCGCTTATAAGACTTCTAATTTTTCAAAATTCAGCATATCTTACCTCGCACGATGCATACAAAACAATTGAGAGTGCCGCAGTGTCTATTATTTTGGTTCTTTCAAATGCATGGCCACGAGACTGTGCCGACATGGCTTTGAATAATGTTTTCCGTGGACGGGTGCACTCGCGCGAAGCGCTTTTTAAGACCAGGTGCTTTCGCTGGTGTCTTTGCCATTGCTGAAGACAGCTTGTGAGATGGGCTATTGGCGACGCGCGCGACCTAAAGTGTCGCTGTGGTCGGACTTCCACAATTGGCCGAATGCTGACAATGACGTCAACAAAGGATTTCTCATCGACTGGAATAAGAGTAATGTAAGAAGTTTAATTTTGACGGTGTTGGCAGTGTTGGATTCAGAGCACAATGATTTCAAGCTTCCACCATACTAATTACAAACACCATTGGACTTGTTGTTCGTAAGGTAATGACGTCACGAGAGGAAACCATAGGAGGGCGCCACCAAAACATCTCGCCGCTATAATAGACAATGGACCCTTTCCAAAATTCAGTCTGGCCACTATCACCTGAGGGATAGCATCTGTGCCGTATACTAATGGCGGGATTCTGGTGACGGATGAAGTTGCTTCTAAGCGGATGATGCGAGGTCTATACATTCGAAGCGTTAGTACGATACGAGACGCAGGAATCGTACACTATAGAGCTTCGTAACCGTTAATTTTAACTTGGATCAGACAATATGTGGGCGGCATGCAATCGGCTCTAATGTCTTATATTGTATGGCATTTTATCGAAACGTTTATGTGGTCGGAACCCGGAGCTTTGGTCTTGCCGTTTGTATCTTTGTCACCACCGAAACTGAAAGACATCGAGAAAGAACTGCACAGTGAACACTTCCTCGTCGGCCGTTGATTTGCGAAACTGACGGTTCCCGATAAAATAGAAGTTCATTACCGCCATTAGCACGGCCAAAAAAAAAAAAAAAATACCCGTTATTTCAGTCATTAGATTGCGCTAAATTTTAAAAATAAAGCATGGCGCCCCTACCGGTGCCCGCTGCGTGCAAGAACGTACAGCGTGCGCGTAGACGTAGCTTTGGCAAGTTTGAAATTGCGCGGGTTTGTCCGCACGAGCAAACACATGGCGGCGGTCAGTCGCCCTGCTTTGCAATCGTCTACAGAGGGTACTCACTGGACGCCATATTTGACGGCGATGTTTAGAGCGCATGCAAAGACAGAAGGAGCTCCCATTAATAGGCTGCTTAAACCGGCACTCCTAATGGTGCGGAATGAGCATTCACTGGCGGCCATAGCTGTGTGCGCGACTGCTCAGCGCGTGCTAATGGCAAGTTTCCACAGTTGTTTTGCAACGTGCATTCCACACTATCAAGATGGCCGTTATTGGCAGGCCAATAATGTGATCTGATCCATGATAATTGAAACCTGAGGCTGTGGTTCGAAAAACGGAAACTCGTGAAGTAGGAAGAAAAAGGGACAGACAATGTTGAGACCGTTGTCTGTCCCTTTTTCTTCCTATACTTTACGAGTTTCCGTTTTTCGAACCACAGCCTCAGGTTTCAATCATCATGTATAACTCACACAACCTCGCCTGCACTTTATTTAACCGTTTTTTTTTTGTTTTTTTTTTTAATGTGATCTAGTTTTCAGCATGCGCTCTAAACAGCGCCCTCAAATATTGCGTCGAGTGAATACCCCGATGTATGCCTTCTTATCAATGATACACGTTTAGAAAAGACAAAAAAAACACGACGAGCATGGGCGTTCAAGGCAACATATAACGTCTGAAAAACCCCGATGAAGGGTGCGCATGTGAGTGTCAAACTGCCAGTTCGTAGATGACCTCCACTCACGGGTGAGTGTAAATCACCCAGAGCTGGCCAAATTACTCATATTTTGTAATTAAATTACATTACTAATTACTTTGCTGAAAATTGCTGAAATGTAATTAAATTACATTACAAATTACCACAGCCAGAAAGTAATTAATTACCATTACAAATTACTTTTAAAAGTAATGACATTACTTTCGCATTACTTTTGTATAATTTTAAATATAAAGGAGCTATTGATAACTTCCTTTTACAGATAACTTTATTAACATTATTTACAGAGTTCATGGCACACAGCTAGAACTCTCTGTTGTATGTTTACCGATGGACAGAGGGACGCACGCGACTGATCCGTTTCCCACCCCAACCCGGACAACTATTTTTGGAGATGACTGAGGACCCTATGCAGATTATCTCTGGGTGGGGGGAGAACAATTGTCATTGTTCGCAAAATCGCGTCGAGGGCCGTTCCACCAGGGGCCTTAGTTCGACCTAATTTCCCTCCTTCGTTTCCCGAGAATGTCGAGCAGAAAAGCTCGAATGGCAGGCACTTACCAGCCCTATTTCTCACAGTGGACGATAACACAGAGAGGGTACGCAGCATGCATCAGAAAAAGTAAGCGGAAACTTTCATGAGGGGCCAGAAAACGTCGAATGCAAAACCGCAAAACATAGGTAGAGAATCGCGCTGAGCGGGTTTTCACAGTTCAAGAGAGTGGCAGAAAATGTCTAGCTGATGGCGGGCGCGAGAGTCGCACCAGCCGCATGAGCATCAGCAACGTAGCGGCGGCCGAAGAGCGTTTTTTGGAAAGGTGTAGAGGAAAAAGAAAAAGTAAAATAAAAAGAAAAGAAAAGCGCTCTTGTGTATTGTGGATACAAAAATATGCCTGGCGCGAAAAATTAATTAGGTAATTTAATTACAATTACCGTCGCTGGAGTAGTTCATTACATTACTAAATTACCTGCTACAAAAAGTAATGAATTACATTACTAATTACTGGAACAAGTAATTAAATTACTGTAATTTCATTACAGTAATTACATTACTGCCAGCTCTGAAATCACCCAACACTGAGTGGGCGTCCGTGTCTATTTGGTTTTTTTCCGACGGCTGCATTTCTCCTCGCTCAAAGGCGCTCTTAATATATGCAGTGTGTCACATGTTTCCAGCCAGACGCGATAAAAGATAACGCGACATGTAGCTTAATTCATCGCCGAGGGAACCTTTCTTCGTGTGCTGGTTGGAATACGAAGGGAAGTAAGTCCCGACAAGATTCGGGTATCAATATCTGTGAGAAATAAAAAAAAAAAAAGCATGCAATAAAAAGCTTCCCGGCTTCGTTATTACTGTGAGGCGAGACCTTGGATTATCGTGTAGCAAGGATAAAAAAAAGAAAACCGAACGTTGCGCGCATGCATTCACCAGACTACGAAAATAACCCTTTGAATGGTATACAGTTTGTGACTACGTGCGGTTGCTGACCTATCGTGACTTTTTCGTTGTGGATTTCGTTTTTCCGTGGAAAAAAAAATCAAATATTTTTTCTTAGTTAAAGCCTCGTACATTTGTAGCAAAAAATACGCAAAAAAAGCAAGACTTAAGGCCTTTTTTTTCTTCCATGCATCCTCGTAGTCTGTGTTACTTTTATTTATTAAGGCGAAAGCCTTGCTTTTCCATTCAGTGAAAAAGCGGCGCATACGGGAATAAAAATACAATTGAAAGGCACGCGCCGCTCAGTCCTGTTCAAGGACGACGCGGTTTTTGGCGTCATCATTGAGGTCGTCCTAGAGGTCGTCCTAGCCCTGTAGGACGACCTTACTTGTCCCATTACGCGAAAAAGCGACGTCGTTGTGCCCGAAAGATGGCCATAAAAATACGTGATCAAGCACGCGCCGCTCGCGCTCAAGTGCGGGAGCGTGATGTCACCGCCGGAGCGCCGTGTGCCAAAAGTGGGCTTCGAAATTCATCTGTGCTCGTTGTGTGGTTCGTGCGATGGACTGTGAGGAGAGCGCGTCTACATCTACGGCGTCGACATCAGCAGCAGCGTCTGCATCTACGGTGGCTTCCGCAGGCAAACATGGCCGCCCACGCAAATACATCACAGCCTTCTTAAATGTCCTTTTCTGGGAGTCATTCTCGACGTCGTCCTTAAGGTCATCCTAGACGTCATCCTCAACGACATCTTAGACGCCGTTCTTGACGTCGTCCTCGAGGTCGTACGAGAGATAGTCCTCGGCGTCGTCCTAGACGCTGTACTTGGTGTCAGTTTCTATAGACGTCGTCCTATAGGTCGTCTTAAACTTTGAATTTAATACGTGAAGAAACATTACTGGAAAATATTTCTCCCGCGAAACTATAATGCTTTCGCCTGCCTACACCTAAGCTGTCTTGAATGTCCCGTCATTTTTCGTTATTAACTTGTAAAAAAGCACAGATCATGGGTTGTACGATGATTTTGAAGGACCAGTGCAACGAAATGTTATTCCGAACTTTCACAATCGAAGCCAAAAGATAGCTCCAATTAGTCAATATACGATACATATAGACTTAAACCTTGTTTAGTTCTTAACTTAGTTTCCTTAGTAGCCGGTCTCTGTCAGCAAGCATTGATATTTCAAAGTAGTAAACTCTAAGATAACGACCTTGCGGTGGTAAGATCGATTTTCAATCCCTCAAGCTAAAGCTGAGCCGTCATGTTTTCGCTGTGATCATTATCGAATAACTTTTTCTGTCCGTATTTCTCTAACTTCTTTAACAGTTCTTGTTACCCAAGTGATGTCTATGTCCAGGAAGCGTTGCGCAGAATATTATATAGACTCTATAGGAAGTGAAACTATAAGTCGGATAGATCTAGTGGTGTTTGTAGATGATCAGCTTTTTTTTTAACGCTCACGTGAACTCCGTTGTTAGCCAGAGTCTGCGCATGTTGGGGATAATGGCCCGCCTAACTAGACCATTTAGCACTTATTGTCTGTTGCGACTCTTCAGTAATCATACGCTCTAGACTTGAATTTGCATCTGTTATTTGGAATTCTACACTCTAAAAAAGGGGGTATCACCTTATACCCTTTTGTCCCATATAATCCACCCTAAAACTTCATTTCGACGTACAGCGCACTATAGTCGAATAGAAGGCTTCAAATTTGACGAGGGCCTTGATAACGGTGCGATATAACTTACTAAATAGCTAAAGTACGTATCAAAGACCGCAGAAAGAAAACACTAAGGTTTTGCAGTAGGGCCAAGAAAACCGTGACTATTGTTATTTTTCTTTTTCTTGCATTTAGTAACATAAGAACATTAGCTATTTTAATAAGTTGTACCACACGGCTATCAAGCCTCTCGTGAAAGTTAGAACCGTCAGATAGACGCCAGTGCGCTGTATACGCCGAACTGAAGTTTTGGGGGTATTATATGGGACAAAGGGTGTAAGCATACACCTTTTCTTTTCTTTTTTTTTTTTTTCTTTTAGAGTGTATCTCTAGTACAGCGAGTGAAAAAAATGAACATATACAAAAACGATTTGTGCGGATTGTCTATGACAAATATTTTGATTGTAAATGTTGTTTTGAACATAATTTAATTTGATCCAAACTCAAACGGTACACTTTACATAACAGGAGATCTGTCCGGGATGTTAAAGAGACACTGAACCCCACCCCAAACCCCTTTAAAAGAAATTTTTTTTTTGTTTTTCGTCAGGCCGTTATGGTTCTCGGAATTCTCCAATTATTATTTTCGCCATTATGGTTGTCGGAATTCTACCCAATTATTATTTTGCTACAAAGTCACGTATCTTTTTTAATAAAGCCAAAAAACGCAACTGCTCGAAACTGAAACCGAAACCCACGCACCGCACGAAGATGTGGAGAGGAGAGAGTGAGTGGCGGAAGTCGCGTAACTACACCCAACTGTGCGATTTGCTTTCTTTTTTTTTTTTTCTTTTTTTTTTTTGGGGGGGGGGGGGGGGGGGGTGCGGCAGACGAGATGCGTTCGGCATCCGTTCACCGTGCGATTCCTTTGCAGTTATGTTTGTTCCGCTCGCTGTTCTGTACTTCAAGAGGAGTTGTTTTGTACATTTAAGGCCTGTTCCCACATGCAGCGGAGCGCTACAAGCATAGCGCTTACCTCGCGCTAAGCGCGTACTGATGGGAGCGTTCACCAGCTTTGTATCGCACCGTCAAAACTGTTGCTCATGGCAGACGATAAGTAGCTGACGGCACGTGAGGAGCGCTACATCAGCGCTTCGCTGCATGTGAGAACCGGCCTTTAAGTGTTGTCAATTAGTAGTGAGTGCTCGTGGGGAATTCCCGTAATCGGCTCCGAAAAGAATACTTCCAAGATGTTGTGTGAAGAGCGGCCTCAGATCTGAAAGTGGCATTGTGTGGCAGAGGTGTCAAAAATGGAATCCCATACCATTTAGTTCAGCGACCTATCGTCCGCAACAATTTTTTTTCAATGATAATTGTAAAAAAAAAAAAAAAATAGGTGTAAACTTTGCAAAATGTTCGAAAAAAAGAAAAAAAAATCGTACTCCCACACTAGGGATCGAAATTGCGCCCGCTGCGTATGAAGCGGACGTCTTTCGACTGAGCTACTGTAGGAACTCTTTCGTTTGTAGTAATGCATCCGGTCGACTATATGTCGGAAAGTTTGCTGCCGATTTCCCTCCAGTCAACGCTTCCAGTACATGCATTCCCGGCTTGAAGTGGGGCAACACCACGCATTGGCCACATTCACACCAAGTACAGGAACCGTACGCGTGCGTATTCAACTCGATGTACGCACTTCGTGCTTGACGTTTGAGCGAGCGATGTCTTCAGCCACGAGAAGGGAGCGACGGCTCGGCGACGTCTTCGTGCAGTCGGCTTGCTGGTCGGGCGTGTCGTGCGGAATGAATATCAATTCTTTTCATCAGTCCAAAATTTCTCTTTCGAAGGAAGACAGAATTCGCCGGTACTGTGAACAACCGTTCTGAAGTAGAGATCCAACGCCCGTCGGCCGCTGCCACCAGCGAGTCCCACGAAACGCGAAACGACGCCATGTTGGGAATTAAGCAGTGAACGCACAGAATGCCTCCGGTTGTCTGTGGAACCTTTTTTATTTTTTTTTTCATTCAACGTATTTACAGCTTTTTGGGAGCCACAAAAAATCGGTTTCATATTTTTTTTTTCTATTTTTAGTATTGACTGTGTGCCTCCAATGATCCCGACTTTGATTAAATTTGGTGGTCGCGTCGAAATCTTAGAAAACGGCCCGTGAACACGGAAAAGAGTGTGAGCGCGACTCAACCCGGCCAGTTCTCGATCGGCGGTTTTCGGGCGGAAAGAAACCGTAATTTTAGCCGCAAATTTTGTTCTGGGCAGTTGGACTCTCATATGTCACGTACAACTAACAACCTCGGCGAGGATAAATACCCTGTCAGTGCATGTCCCTTTACGTTTTTGCGCAGGTTGGTTCACGGGCCCATAGACAGTCCTGCACTTCTTGCTTCTTTACACTTCCGCATTCCTATCAGTGCAAACTTTATAGAAATCTCGAAGTTTTTTACCCAGATAGTCATAGCAACTTGTCACCGATATCACGAATTGAACATGTTTTAGACACGAAGTTTTGCGATATTGATATTTGTTGTACAAAATTGCCTCTTGTTCGTACAGGGTAGCTCTGATATTGCCAAAACTGTTTGCATGAGTAATAATGTAAAGCTTATATGTACAAGTTTTAAAACATGTGTATAATTAACTTGAAGCATGTAAATTTGTGATAAATATGTATTTTCTGCTTCGTGTTTTACCGCAAAGGCTTTTGAGCTGTTAGTAAGCACGCGAGAATAAACATTGTGCAGTGCTATATTCCTGTTCTAAACGTCAAAGGCCCGGTTGCAAAGTTAGTTTAAGGTTTCAATTTTACAATTTTTTAACTCCATTAAATACAAAAAGCAAAAACAACAAAAACGTTGTGTTAACTCTTTTCTTTGCAATCGAACCTTATTGAACCATTTTAAAACAGCTATATGTTTTCTAGTGATTCGGTATATTCAGGCAGATCATATACTATTTAATGACAGAACTATAACACACATAATGTATCGGCGACTCCGGAACATTATATTGAACTGCTCGGGCTCCTTGGGTCTGTCCTGGCACCTTTCTTCTAACGAAATAATAGACGCAAGTTCTTAACGCCAAACGTCTTGACCATGTCCTTCCGTCCTTTGGTGCATACGATCTGGTTTCTTACATACCGATTTGATTATTTGCATAAATTTGAAACTCATATGATAAAATTAGTGTTGTACAGAACGGCGTTCCTGGAACGCGTTCCTTTCAGAAGGAACGAAGTAACGCCGCCAATCCATTTTGCATCGGTGGAGCTGGAACGAGAACTCGTTACATTTTGACGGGGACGGAAGAGGGAACGGCGTTCCTTTTTTTCGTCCAGTCGGGTCATTTTTATTTAATTTCTAAGAGGGAAATTTTAAAAGTATAAAATAATATATTTGCAAAGAGCAGGATCTGGTTAACGTTTTGGTTACTTATTGGGTGCAAAAGAACCAGTAGACATCAATATTTTTTCCTTTTATTGTTTGAGGTTGCGATACAAAAAGCAAAACTTTTAGTCGAAGGAAAATACGCAGAAAGAGGGACGTTTCAAACTCAGTACTCACTTTGCTTCCAGAAATCATCATACACCCAGGAATCTAAGGCCGACTACAGCCATCACTGAACTTCCAGAAAGAGACTTACAGTTGCGACAAAAGAACAGGCTAACTGAAATCGAACACACCCTGATACCTCGAACATTGGTCTCTAAGCAGATACACAAAAATTAACCTTTATTCCTTCTCCCCTTCAAACTGAACAACAAATTCACCCTTCACGAAGAAGGACTTGTAGTTTTCAAGACTGACCTTCCAAAAGCCCACGCTCTTCTTCACTTGGTCGTCTTGCGGACAGTAACATCGAGAAGCCACTGTTGTCAAGTTCGAACGAAGGACTTGGCTAGATTGAAACGTGTGAGGTTGTTGTAAAACGATCGTGCAATGTGGGGTAACTACATTTAGCTCGTCTGAATCGCCTACCGCAAACATGAATATGGATACAAGCTAAGATTTTTAAAATTGAATATATCAACAAATGAAACCCTGCTTCCGCTTGTTCTCTTCCCCTGGTGTTCTTCCATCACGGTGTTCAAATTCATATGTTGCCATTTGATGGAATAGATAAAGAAATAACTGTATAGTAGTTAGCAAAATACAACTGTAACAGGTATGTAACGATACGTTCAATTTTTTTCACTGTAACGGGAACGAGTCCTTTTCTCACACATGGAACTTGTAACGGGAACGCGTTGCAAAATTCAGAAGGACCGAGGAACAATCTTTTGTTTAGGAACGTGTACAACACTGAATAAAATGTATATAACAAAATAGTTCAAAAAATGGGAATAGTTGCCTAAATGTACTATAGGAACAAAGCCAGCGCGGAAGGATATAAGACGATGATTACACGGGTATAGTCCCAATCCAAGCCTTTCGTTAAATATACGTGTAAGAGTTTGCCGTTATGATAGTGTCACGACTACAAAGTAAAGCATAGAGGGGTATAACAAACCTGAACGGAATTAAACTTTGTCCATTTCATGTATTCTCTGTATTGTTGGTTTAGCCACTTAAACCTTGCATTGTGTCCGTAGCTCTCTTATATGAACAGGATATAATATGGTTAATTTAGCCGATAAAGGAATATATAGTAAAAAAAAACAGCAATGCATACTGAGATTACGAGTATCGTGGCCGACTGAGAAAAGAAAGCACCGCATAAACCGGCTTCGGCTCTTAAACTGACGTGAACGAGACAGCTTCAAGGTCCTGCGTGCAGTCTGTGGTTAGTCGCCCAACCAGTTTGTTTCGACACAGACTGGAACGGAAGGACCACAAAAGCTGCGGCGGTGCCATGGGGACGGAGGAAGCGCGTGAGACTCCCATGAAATCGACATAAATAGAACCCGAAGAAGTCCTTCCCGACCTTGTGTGCTTCTTTAGTTTCCGTGCCGGTTGACGAACGACCAACTGACCCAAGGCGGGCGCGTTCGAACAACGCAACGCGCCTGCTTTGAGTTGCAAAGATAGGGTGGGAGGGGGAAGTGAGGGGGGGTGGAGGGAGCGCTGATTGGCTGGCTACCGGCAAAGGGGCGTGCTGGGGGAGGCACGTGGGTGAAGGGAGAGAAAGAGGGGAGAGACGACCTGAGGAGGGTGAGGGAGAAGATAGATTATGGCAGCACCACAACGAGCGGATGAACATTTTAGGAAAGCGGTAGAAAGTTATAGAAAGGGGGGGGGGGGGGGGGGAAAGCTCAAAGAGAGCGTGGCAGCCTGTAGCTGAACGGGACGGTCCAGCGGGGATCTGTCCAGCTGCCCTTTTCTTTTTTGGTTTGAGAACTGGACAATGGTTCGGTGGCGCGCGAACCGTATACAAGGCTCATGTCCGCGGTCCAACGTGCCGATGCGTGCAGACACGCGACATGGTCATTCTCTCTGGTGCAACGGGTTTCCGACACACGTGGCGTTTCCGTCTTGACGTGGGTTTTTCTGTCTCGGCTTGGATTTTGTTTACCGTAAGCTTTGCGAGTTACATGTAGTCAGATGTTGCGCCATATATAGTCGCCAAGCAAAAAAGAATTAAAAAAAAAAAAGTTTTTCTGTATATGAGCGACGAAATAATTCGAGCATCTGCGGGGAATGTCTGCTACGGCTACAGTTTTGCCGCACTGGAAACGTACGCCACCACAACACGCGTAGCACAAACGGATCCGCCCCAAATTCAGGGTCGGAAACAGGAGTTGGAATCCCCGCCCACAGCCGCGTTCGTCGGATGCAATAGGATTGGCCGTGAAACAGCATCTGTTGCATTCTGGAATGTGACATCCCAGATACTAGAACAATTTATTCCTAGCTGCGCCGGGTTCGCACACTGCAAATAATTTGTAGTCTGTTATGACACGAATGTATTATGAGTCCCTCGAATATCACACATATGAGTGACTTCTCTCGTTACAAACACCAAACACATCAGATAGGTTTGTAGTGGTACGGATTTACTGAAAATGAAGCTGCAGGCCGAGTGCCGACACTGGAGCAAAGTTCACCTTTAACAGCTAAAGGTTAATAAGCTTACGATACTCACACATCTATGTTCAGGCTGTGATCCATATTGCAAAAATACTCAATTTCACTCAGTTATTAGACAGGGTTGCTCTACCCATCTAGTCTACTACCACACCCGAATACACATCCAGGATCTCTCGATCACCGTGGAATGCCCCGACAACACCAAGCAATACACATAACGATTTCACGATTCTCCGCCTCTTCGGAAGGAGCCAGTGCGGTGTTTCATAGCAGATCTGATGTATATATGTGCTGCCAGGTGCGTACATAACGCGTTACTACATACGCATTAATTGGAGTTCGCTGCTGTTCCTGGTAAAAACGAAACAAAAAAACAATTGGTTTGGTTACTTTTGCGAGTGAGAACGAGTTACGAATTTTTGGCCGAGCAACAGGTAATGGTGTTTCGTCCCTTTATCTGAGGTGCGTGTTCAAAGCCGACCATTTCCCTTACTTGCGTACAAAGGGATATACGTCCGGGTTCATTGTTGCACACATTGATTTCATCCGAGTGTTTTTAATATTTGTTTCTCCGAACGAAATCACTTAACGTAATTGGATCGACTTCACAGTAACGTGCTTTCCATTTTGTGCCACGTCTGCATCTCCTATCCTCACGTCACCCACCAGTTCTTCTAGCTCGAAAAGCACCGAGCGAAATAACGCGTTATACTAGTGGCGGGACCCTTTTTGAAACTTTGTAATGTGTAACCCCCTTCTTTGTTTGAACGGGTGACCAGTAACAAGTGTTCTCTTTGACCCGCAATCCAGTGATGGGCGAGGGTGCACCCCATACACCATACCTATAAGTTTGTACAGCCCACTGCGCAATCTCCATAGGCCAGCACACGCAAGTTTGCCAGTTAAGTAAAAGCAAAACATCCGCTAAATCCTAAAGCAAAACCAACCGAGAAAAGCGAGGGCTGCACCAATCCAACTATAGCCTTCGATTTTCGAGAGAAAATATATTTTCTTTCGAAAGGGGAAATTTATATTAATTATTATTATTGTTTATGTTATTCACCGAGATATAAGCTGGGTTCGGCGATTGGGAGTATATATATATACCTTGAGCATTAGAAGAAATCAACGGACTCTAATGCTGCATTCACACTGCCGTTTGAATCGCAACCGCGAAGCGGAGCCGCCTGTTTTCATTATCAAATGCGCGTGAAATTGCACTGAATCATAAAGCAACCGCGTTCGCAACCGCTTCGTGATTGTGGCTTGACTGCCAGTGCGAATAGGGCAAGAGAGTGGGCGTCGGGCTTTTCTTAGATCAACAAAAGGCGTTTATTGAAGCGAACACAAACCGATTTCCTCCGCTGTTGTCAATAAGTACGTTTCTGAACACGTTTTCTGGTAGCGAACATCTGAATGGGTGTTTTTTCTGCTATCGTTTGTATTTTTGACACAAACAATAGATTGTTTTTTTTTTTTTTTTTTTTGCTGTATTCGTGTTACCAGGAGTGAGAAGTTTACTATGTATACAATTATCGTGAATCTCTTCCCGCGGCAACACATATTTTGATAGTCTAATATTAGCTTGTTTTGTTATATATATTCAGATGGTTGACAGTATATATAATCGCTTAATCGTCAATTGTCTAGCGAGGATTAGGCTGCTCTTCCGTTAATTTACTGACTGCATTTAATTTTACTCGATTTGTATGTTTACATCATTTTAGTTTTGTATTCGATTTTCTAGCTCTAACATTGTTGCTGGTGGACTATTAAAAATCATCATTCATATATATCCGAATTAGACGTTTTCTAATATTAGTAAAAAAAGAAAAAAGGCATGTCAGAGATATTTTTCTTTTCTGAACCTATATTTTGAAAATGTTTCTTGTTTAAGAGCCACGTAAAACAATAAGACATGCCTTTTTGGTTTGGGTATACCCCTATTACATCTCACCCCTTTCCATTCATGGTTCCCTAAAATGATTGTGAAATATTTTGGGGTTCGAGTTCCAAGTTAGGAGATTGCTGTGCCATTTTCCCCAAACTGCGCCAAAGTGCTTACCCTGCTAGCTCCTTCTACATTTCGACAATATGTGATGAATTTGCGCCAACGTTTCGCGAAGACGTAATTTCACTTTAATAATACCGAAATATATAATAGCTAAGGGCCCGCTACGCGGTCGGATTGTTACAGTAGGCTCTTTCAAATTTTGAGCACATTCGATTATCGCCTTAAATAACGTACTGCTATCGACTGGATCTCTGTGTCAAACACTGACAGTAATCGGAGGTCGCGCCATATTCTCACGTTCGTGGTTTGTTGAGCTGGGTTAGGCAGCTTCGTTGAGTGCGCTTCTCGCCGGTCACTGGTGCACTGCAGTGAAGCAAAAACAACGGAGTATAATCTTTTTTTAAAATTTTCCTTTGCAAGATACAGAAAAAATGCGTTGTACACGCAAGTATTAAGTATACTTAAAAAAATATCTTGGTAAGTGTTGATGTAACAACTCACGCAAAATGGAAAGTTGTTAGTGTATATTGAAAGAAAAATATTCGCCTCAAAGACAGGGACAAAGAACAAAACGACACAGCGCTCGGTGTCGTCTTGTTCTTTGTCCCTGCTTTTTAGGCGCATATTCGTCTTTATTAACAACTCTACCTTGCAGTAAAACATTCTGAATTGAACTGAGGCTCGTATATATATATGGTGGACTTAGATATCCTTATGTTTCTTTTTTCTTTTTTAATTTGAGATTGGGCAAAGAAGCTTCTGTACTGCGGAAAAATTGATATGGACTTCTCTATAACTTTATTTTTTCTTGCCAACTTTTGGGTTTAGTTATTACCTTTACAGAGATTTCGCGTCGGTTAAAGAGGAGTAAAGTACAACTCAATTAGCAGGAGTGTATGTAAACTTGGGAATAACCTTAATGAGTTAGACTGGATTATTTCTGGGGCTTATTTATTGTTCACATGTCGATTTTTGTTACGATGAAGTCCCACATATAAATTGTAATTGGTGTTAATGCTGAAATAAAAAAATTTACCAGAATTAATATTTACAGTTTTGTTACAACATTCAGGACTTCAATGTAATATCAACTTGGGCGCTCATATTATTCTGTTCTAACATAATTTCTGTAGAATATACTTTTTGTTTTTATATTTGGTTCTTCACCTAAAATAACCATTCGCGCCCGTTCATACTGTCTTTCATCATTATATTGTTGTCCTGGCTGGGACTTCTACACGCGTTCTGCGTTTGAGGGAATGAAACCTGCAGTGCTATTGACGCTAACAAGTGGAAGGCAAAGTAGACGATGACTTTTGATGGAGACGCCATATTAATTATCCTATAATATTTGCAGTGGTAGAAATGCAATTAAAGTGTAAACTATAGTGCTCCAAAAGTTTTTTTTTCCCTGCTCCGAAATTGACTTGTAGCTACCCCAAAAGGAGCTCGAAAATGACACAGACCGGTCACATCCTAGAGTTTTAGAAATTGCATATCGTGAGGTGTGATAAAATCACACTAGAATATAAAAATAATAATCCGAAAGCTCAATTTTCGCAAAAAAAAAAAAGAAAGTTGCAATTGGGAGCGATTTCATTTTTCCTTCGACAAGTGTTTCCGATTTTATCGTGATGCGTTCGCGGTCCAAAACGGTGACGCTTTCCGGTCCCAAGATAGCCAGTGGGGTAGCCAGAAAATATCTTCGGGGGTGTTTCAAGGTGCAAGTGCAATCACACATACAATAAAAAAATAGATGTATATATATGTGAAGTAGGGTAAATATAAAACAATCGACCGGGAAAAGTTAATAAGTAAAAAATGCGTACTGTCGGAGTTACTAACGAAGTGTATTGCGACGTTTCGAGCGGGGACCGCTCTTTATCAGGTAACGAGTGTACAGCCCGAGAACGGT